GCGTAAGCTGATTGAGGAACATCGACATGTGACATACCGCGAAATTCAGACAACTTTAGACATTGGAATGAGTCAAATACAAATAATCTTGCATGAACAATTAAGTGTATAAAAAGTTGTTTTCCCGATGGATACCGCATTCGCTCTGTGAAGAGCCAAAAGCGGCTCGCGTTACTTGGTGCGTCAGAGCTCTCGAAAGATTCCACGCAGGATCCTCAAATGCTGTATACAACATCGTATCAGGTGACGAATCCTGGATATACGCGTACGAACCCGAAACAAAAAACCAGTCACGAGTTTGGGTGTTCGAAAATGAGTTACAAGCCAACAAAAATTTTTCGTTCACGGAGTGTTGCAAAAAAAAATGGTGGCCACATTTGTCTCCAAAACCGGCCATGTTACGACTATTCCTCTTGAGAGACAAAGAACGGTTAGTGCAGAATGGTATGCTTGCATTTGTTTGCCACAGGTCGTTTCTGAACTCCGTAAAGAGAACTGCAACCAACCGCATCATCCTCCATCACGACAGTGCGAGTTCTCACACCGCACACAGAACAAAAGAGTTTTTAGAGCAAGAAAACATAGAATTATTAGACCATCCGCCGAGCAGCCCCGACCTCAGCCCTAATGATTTCTATACTTTCCCTAAAATAAAGAATAAATTGCGTGGACAGAGATTTTCATCACCTGAAGAAGAAGAAGGTTCCATCGTATGGAAAAATGTGTCAAATTTCGCGGAGAATACTTCGAAAAGCAATAAATACATTTTTAAATAGTAATGTTGTGTCACTTCTTTCATTCCCGAAATTTTCAGTGCCGCCCTCGTATCTATTAGGTCTAAAATAAGAAAATTGAATAAGTTAACCACATCATTAAGTTCATTATACTCCAGTATGAGTTCCCAAAGAGTGAATGCAGATGCTTTCTTAATATATTCGACATTATCTGTCAGTGGTCTATACTGAACGGTATGGAAAATCCTACCCAAATACGTTTCCGAAGAACTCTGTTCAAAAGTGAAAGTCAATAAAGTGAACTTTAACAATTGAAATTAAATCAAAAGCGAAAATAATTAAAATAAAGTATAAAGAAAGTGAAAGTGCATCAAGAAAATCGACACCCAGCCTGTCATAAGAACAGGCCCTCTGCATCATTCAACATCCTACTCATCATCGGATGACCCCTGCTCATCATCATCATCCTTGTTGGCATACAAGGGTCTCTGTATCCAACGCATAATAAGCATGAACGCAAGCCTAATCATCAGTCCATCATTGTTCCTGTAAGTGACCTTCTTATAAATAACTAATTCTGATTTTATAATTGAACTGAGAGCAAAGACATTCTTTAAATAACTTTAAAATATAATTTATGTTACACTATATTATTTCTAACTCATTATTTCGTTCATTAAATAAGTCATTATGCTACATTTTTGAACGTGTTTGTGTTAACATTACTCCTTGTTGTATTGTTCATTGTTGCATACTTTAGCCGATAAGCAGACTACAGTTTATTTTAATTTATAACTTATAACCAAATTATTACAATGAGTAAGTGTGAAGAAACTCCCTGTGCCTCTAGGAATGCGTGACAAAATAGAAGAAAAAACAGTAGAAATAGGTGTGTTACTGAAATTTATTGAACCTTTTGATGGATCACGAGAAAAATTAAACCCGTTTATATCCAATTGCCAAAATGCATATATTCTTGCTTCTAAATCCCAAAAATTAATATTATTTAAATATATATTATGCCAACTAGAAGGTTGGGCTAAAACAACGTGGGCTTAAACAATGATTCGAATCGTTTGAACAATTTTTAGAATTTTTAAAACAACAATTCGGCGAAAGAAAACACTACTCCCATTTTCTGTCGGACCAACAGGACTGTAAGCAGGGTTCAACAGAATCAATTAACCAATTTGCTTTAAGAATAGAAACATGCCTGGCTTAATTATTAACTGAAATAAATATCTCTATTCCAACAAAAAGGAAAACGGAAAAAGGAAACCAAAAAGGGTGTAAAAAACTATGTTGTAACAATTTCGAGCAAGTTGTTGTGCCGGAAAAATTCAAAAGTTTTTTTATTGGCTGACTACTACAGCTCAAAGAATAGAATTTTGGTTTTCGCTAGTGATAATTGTAAAACAATATTGGCAAATTGTAATTTGACAGTTTTATGTGACGGAACTTTTAAATTTTGTTCCATGTTAATTTAGGAAGCAGTGAAACCCATACTAACATCATACCTGTGATTTATGCATTATTGCCAAACAAAACTAAAATAACTTACAAAGTCTTGTTTTCCTTGATCAAGAGTCAAATTCCTCAGTTAGATCCAAAACATATTATACTCGACTTCGAGCAGGCAGCAGTGTCATTTGTGGGTGTTTCTTTCATTTAGTGGAAGTTTGTGGCGAAATGCTGACGAAGTAGGCATTACAAAAATTGCACTGGCTCGAAAACATGTAAAAAGGTGGACTGTTTTGGTACATTTACCTAAAGAATATATTGACAGTGTTTGGTTGTACATTATGTCTCAATGCCCCAACGATGAAACAACTGTCCAATTTAATAATTATTTTGTAGAAACATGGTTAAGTGAATCTTCATTTTTTGCTGACAAATGGTCGTGTAGTAACAATATTCACCGTACTACAAATATGGTTAAGAGCTGGCATGCTACTATAAACAAAAAAGTTGAGTAAACCGAAAAGCATTGCTCATTTTGGACTTATCTTACAACGAGAAGAAAATTATTATCAAACTTTATACTTAAAAGGATCAAATACTACGACAAAACAGAAAGAAACTTGTGCTATTGATGGTGGTAGCAATATTAAACATATTGCTACCACAATTACCGAACGCAGACTCGGAAACATAAGTATTGAATTATGTATCGAAAGTCTTATAATTTTTTGAATATTTTGATTTGACAATAAATAAATACAAAAATCGTGAGAAGAATTTATAACAAACCAAATGTTCTTGTGATGGTGTTGATTTTTATGCTTAGAATGCTTTAGTGATATTGTTTATATTTTATATTTTTAATTACTGTTTAAGAACAAAAGCAATGTTTCAAATATTAAATATTTTGTTTTATTTTGTAAATTCTAGATGGCGCTAGCGGTACTTTGTTACACGGTATCATCAGCGCATCGTAATACAATAAGGGAAAACTAACATTTTGTTTAATAAATCAATTCAGGATACGTATCAAGGCGTTTTGTTTACCCGTTACGTTATCCCTAGCTTTGCTAATAGTACATTGGTACTCAATCCTTTCAGAACTGCGTGCACAATTGTAGACATAAGTAGGCATGTCGATTCACTCTTAAAAAATCGATCTCTGAATCGAAGGTACTTGAATCGAGGAATAAAAGATCGATTTTCGATTAATCGCGACATTTTCAAACATGAAATTTCAAGAATTTTCGATTTTTTTCTTTAACTTCTAAAGTGTAACATTTTTTTAAAATAAAATATTAGTAATCTTATTGATTAACATTACTAATATTCCTTTTAACCACTCCTGGTAAGCTTGAAACGCTTGTGTTAGGAGTGGTTCGCACGTACTCCACTCGATCCCTTTTTTTACAAAGTGATTCCACGTAACACTTTTATTTGACATTTTAGGCTAAAAACAACAACAATACTTTTACAAAAGTGCAAACTGCAACGTAAATTTCTCGATAAATCTGTTTCAATCTAATAACTCACTATTTATCATATTGAAATGAATGCTAGACGAACACAATACTGGTTATTTCCTTACAATAAACCTTTATAAACTTCAACGTACGGTATAATATTTTTTACAGTACCTATCTAGGTATTTAAAAAGTACTCTGTCTTTACTTACAGCTCCCAGTATGTATATTTTTGATAATAAATAATGTAAATTCACAAGTTCACAGTTCAAACAGGTTCACAGCTATAATATTATATTATATTACAGCACAGGAGGTGAAAAATAATATGAAAAGATCGCTCGGTCGATCGAAAAAATATTTATAGTTTGGGATGTAATATATATTACACCTCAGTGGAAACGGTTCTATTTAAAAGTACGGTGAGCGATATTAATTTATATCTCGAGATGTAATATTAAATTAAATTACATTATATCCCTTAGTGGAAAGTGGGCTTAAGAATTTTAGAAATGAAAATGAAATGACAACTTTTCGATATTGTTGGATGCGTTCATAAACATTTATTTTATTCAAATATATATTGCTTTCAAATTATCAACCAAGTACGACCGGTTATTTTTGCGTCCCCCAACAGCAAAAAATTAAAAAACTGTGGTATCTTACCCCAGCCAGTTTGGGAATTTTAGCTAGTTTTTGAATCAAATGAATCAGTCCGATTCAATAGGTTTTTGGATCGATTCAGTGAATCGATGCGCTGCTTCGAATCGATCTAAAAATATATAATATATAATAATTTACGATAATTTTACTCCAAATAATCGATTTTTGATTAATCGATTTTAGATCGACATGCCTAGACATAAGATATAAATTGAAAAATAAATATTAAACTCGCAAGCTTTCCGATTGAAAACGGCTGTATTCACTTGTTCACATAAATGAACTACCCAATTCAATACTACTAACGCCATCTCTTAGCGTATTCTAGCAATTTTTGACAAGTTGCGACCAGTACGTGATTTGAACTGTGCAGATGAGCTCTATATTTTATTTCTAAAAAATATAAATTAGTGCAAGAAATCATCTGGAAAAATTATGAGCAGATGTTTAATGTAATTGAGGTCATGTGTAACGTAATATTGGTGTATTTTGTTATCATTTTATATTGGTAATCTCGATTTTTATATTTGTGCTCAATTGTTCCCATTAGGACTCAACTAAGTTTTTTCTCATTGTTAATTATTAAAAATGTTTTAGTTATATTTTTATAGTTTTACTATTTATGTTACTAAATTTAGTGTATACAATTAATTGTAATATTGTTTATTTACATTTTCAGATGAAAAAACACTAACATTCTCACAGGAGGCGTTACAAGCACTAGATGATGGAAATCTTTCTGACTTGTTGTTATCTTCTGATGACGAAGATAATTATGGAGATTCAATTCGTCCAGCACCCTTACCTACTGGAGTTAGCGCAGATGTAATTTACCAAAATCAAAGGGAATTATTTCCACCAAAATCTGATTACGACGAAGGACCTAGCGAATTGTATAACGGCGTCCCTGAAGAGGAACCAGAAGATCCGGTCAACTCCTGTGAAATGGCGGAGAATCAATCAGAAATACCTTCCACAATTGAAGATATTTTACAGAACCTCACACCAAAACAGAGGATTGCATGGAGACACCGAGAATTGGTAAATACCATACCATCAGGTTAGCTTCCACCCATATCTGTTGATCCGACTGTCAAAGCCCCAATAGATTATTACTATAGATATGTCCCAAAACAACTGTTTAGTGTAATGGCAGAAATGACTAACTTATACGTCGCTCAGTCGAACAAGCATAAATTCAAACCTACTTATGCAGGGGAGTTAGAGGTTTTATTTGGTTTACATTTAGCCACAGGAATATTTAGTTATCCTTGTTTGAAAATGTATTGGGAGACAAACATAAGCATTCCCTTGTTCAGTGACTCAGCTAATATGACAAGGGACCGTTTTTTTTGAATCACGAAATAATTTTAAGATTTTAATTTAATTTAATTTTTATTTAATTTTAATGTTAAGAACAAATTTCGTGAACGCACTACGCGGAAAACGTCCCGATACCATCCACACCATCTGGATGCTTGGTGGTCCACCACTGTAAGTTTCAAAAGGAGTCTTCTTCCGCGTACAACCTCTCTGTGGAATAGTTTACCACCGGCGATTTTTCTGGACCGATACGATCTGGGGACCTTCAAGAAAAGAGCTTACTACTTTCTAAAGGGCCGGCAACGCACCTGCAATTCCCCTGGTGTTGCGGTTGATCATGGGCGGCGGTAGTCACTTAACATCAGGTGAGCCGCATGCTCGTTTGCCCCCTCTTCTATAAAAAATAATAATAATATACATCTGGTTGACAACACCAAAATTCCAGCTGATTGCAAAGATGTATATCACAAAGTGAGACCGATTTATGATGCTGTCAGGAGTCGATGCTTAGAGTTACCACTTGAACAACAACTTCGCGTTGATGATGGTTACTTTCACTGGAAAACATGTAGCCAAACAATATATAAAAGGTAAGCCTTGGCCATGGGGTCTCAAAATCTTTTTTTATGTGGTGAACATGGCCAGGCCTATGATTTTATTCTTTACCAGACCTCCTCTCCAGAACTTGATAGTAATATCGCAAAAAAGATTGGCTATGGTGCCTCGATAGTTGTACATCACGCAAAGAGAATAGGAGAAAGCCGGGGTCATGAGCTTTACTTTGACAATTATTTTTCATCATACCATTTACTACAAATCCTAAAACAAAAAGGCATAATGGCTACATGCACAGCTCGTGTTAACAGATTTATGAAGCCACCGTTTTTAAGTGATAAGTAAACAAATAAAAAGCCTAGGGGTTTCTCTCAAGAATATGTAGCAGAGACGGAGATATAACTGTTGTAAAGTGGGTCGACAATAAGATTACCCATCTGGCCTCCAGTTTTGTTGGTATTGGTGAAAAAGATATGGTAAAAAGCTGGTGTAAAAAAGAGAAGCAATATATTGAGGTTGAGCGAGCTGAGGTCGTAAAGCGCTATAATCACGCAATGGGTGGCGTTGATTTATTAGATCAATTTATGAGCTATTGCAGAACATTCATAAATATATGATATTTATATTGAACCTTAAACTGCGTATGATATTTCATGCATCAGATCTGGCAGTTGTTCAGGCATATCGAGAATACCAAATAGATAACGACTTATTAGGCACTCCAAAAAAGCAACGACTTACTTTGCTTCACTTTCGTCGACGGTTGGCTGACAGTTTGGTGCTACAAGATAAATTTTCTATCGCCAAAAGAGGTCGACCAAGTAACAGTAGTAGCCCAATGATGCAAATTATACAAAGAAGGCCAGGAGAGATTTGCCCTGCAGCTGAAATAGCTCGTGACGGTGTTGGGCATTTCCCTGCACATGATGATGGAACTTGGACTAGGTGTAAAATGGTGGGATGGAAGGGAAAATCGCGTGTCAAATGCATAAAGTATGTAGCACTTGTTTGCTTTCCACAGTATAATATTTTTGTTCCTAATTATAGTTTTCATTGTGTTGTTGTATTTGTTTTTATTTCATAAAAATGATTTAACTATGTTATTTCATTCATAATTTTGTAATAAAAATGATCCTAAATAAACATTATTCCATTTCAGAACAAGTTTACATACCTTATTCTTATAACTATGTGATACGGGTGTCCACATTTGTGCACATTAAGAAAAACTATTTTTTCACGAAAAGTTAAAGGCTAATATTTTTTTTATTTTTTTTACAGTCTCCTTACTATACTTAACTTATGCATGGAATGGAATCCATCGGATAAAAAATAATAATTCAGGTTTGAAAGGGTTAATTCGAACCGGATAAAGTGTTGGGGATCTGAGGCCTAGTCAGTGAAGAGTCCACAACTACCGACCACTGGTAGTTGTGGACCACACCACCTGGACTCGCAGTGGATCGCTGCAGCAGGAGTTCAGGCATTGGTTAGTGGTGGTGTTGATTTCTGCCAGGCAGGATCCATTACCGCTACAGTGGTGGGTAGGACACAAGAGTTCAGTTTCAGCTGTCAACAAGTGAAGATTATAATAAATAAGAGTTGTCATAAATAGATGGCACCGCTTTTAGTAGTTAGTGTGAAGTCCAAAGTAGTACAATACCAGTGGTCAAGTTAATAGCTGAAGCTAAAGTGTCAAAGTGTAATCATTTAGTGGTGAGTACGAGAATGAAAAAAACTAAGTACTTTTGAATTTGTATGCCAAGCCATTTGGAACAATAAAGTGAAAATAACATTAAAAATAACTTCTATATTTAAATTTGTAATTGTGTTAATTTAAAAAAAAAAACTTAAGTGTAAAAATAACTTGCATTTTAAAGTAGACAATCATTTTCGGGTCCAATAGAAATTTAGTTTCGCAATAGTATCACACACAGAAAAGATACCAATTTATTATTATATATAGCCTAAAGATTTTTTGGCAACCCAAACGGAATCAAGAAATGTCAAAAAAATTACTTGTTTTGATATTCGTGTTCAGATCATTGGTTCTGGTAATGTAATATTTAAAAAAATAATTGTCTTAGAGATTCGGAAAAAAATCGATTCGAGTTAACTCATACATCAATATAAGCAGGTAAGTTATCACACATTTATGTAACATACATTTGAGTATTAATATGTTATATTGCCTAATAACAATATTCGAAATCATAATCAAAAATACGATTTTTTTCAATTACAGGTTACAATTGGCTGAAAGTATTGTTGTGGCATACAACAAATTGGAATCTGCTATAGTTTGATTATTATAAAACTTTGCAAAGACAGAAGAGGAATTAGACCAATCGGCAGTTTTTCTAATTACTTCAATATTAACTCCGCGTTTATTGGCTGCGGCGGAGACACATGACGAGTGCTATGTGCACTGAATATGAAAGTGTCTATGCCACTGTCGTAAAGTGTGTCTTTTATCCAGCGGCTGAGAGTCGCTGATGTTATTTTTGAATATGGGCGTTCGAAACTAATTAATAAATATTCATTACTACGAAGCGATTGAGTTTTATTGATGTAGGTTTCTAAGCCAGTTGCGGGACATATTTCAGGGCGAACATTAATATAAGGTAACTGCAACACTGGTTGGGGAGCATTAGGTTTAGGTGTTTTGATCAAATCAGTTATGGTTATAGCTATATATATCACTTGGAGAATTTATAACATTAGATAATTTTATTAGTGCTAAAGTCTGTACATGATGTGCAGTTACTAAAGCCAAAAGTGTTACGGTCTTTTTGGAAAGAGTTTCCAAGTCGAGATCGGAGTTAGGCCACTGTTGAGTTAAATTATTTAGAACTATGGTTGGGTGCCATGTCAAATTATACTTTGGACAAGTGGGCCTTAACCTATAAACTCCTTTCATGAATCGTTTAGGTCTATCGTCATGAATTAAATTACCTAGCAATAAGTAATATGCCGATTTATAAGAGGTAATAGTAACATTTGGCACCCTAATCACACACAACGGACAGAAAATGAATTACTGTAGGAAGAGAAACTGTAGAGTAATCATAACCATATATTTTACAATATTTTAACCAATTTTTAATATACTCATCATATTGTTTATAAGTAGAATGAGATAAAGAAGACAATATAATTTCTACTGATCTCGAGGACAAATATCACTTAAATAAAGTTTTCCTGAAAGCCTCGCGGCTACTAAGCTCAAGGCGCGGTGTAGGTTGTGAGGCATTCCGAAAGGAGACGATAACAAGTCTTTATTTGGTTTAAAATATATTTACTTAAAACAAATTAATTTTTACAATACTGGGAACCAGAGTTGCGTAGCTCAATACGGTACTACTAGAATACCTTCTATTCTTTCATTAATAATTTTTGTATGACCTTTGTTATTAGTGAAAAAGGTGGAAATGCGTAGAATAACATATATTTCCAAAAAACGGTAAAAACGTCTATGGCCCAGGCATCAGGGTCATTTTTCCAAGCAATATATTTATGGCACTTAGCATTGCGTCTGCTGGCAAAATGGTCTATATCTGGTTAACCGTAACAAAGAGTTAATTTATTAAATGCCTTATCATGAAGTTCCCATTCAGTGCCCAAAAATTTTTACGAGACAACTGATCTGCTTCATAGTGCGATATCTTGGGATTTGAATAAAAGATGTCTTCCTCGTAACGGCTTTAATGGCGGACTGAGCGGTGACGTTACAATAATTAACACATACCTTACACCTCCAGCCTTAAATATCTACATAATTATATTGAAATGAACTTAATAACTAATTTTAAACTTATAATTTAACCATACCATTAATCTAACATTGGAATTTAATTACGGGTTTTCGGATTCGCCTGGAACGGGTCACTGGCCACGACGGTAACGGTGGTTGTGGAGGAGTGGCGGGGTCTGGTATAGTCTCGCTGGGACCTACATCTTATTTGATCAATATGTCTTTTAATAAATCGACCGTCACCATTGTCGAGAACGTATCTTCCAAAACCTTCTTTCTGGGCTACCGTGCCCTTGACCCATTTATCCCGGGTGTCGTAGTCCCTAATCCAGACGGTATCTCCCAAAGAGAAATTACGCGGAACACCACCCGCATATTCAACTTGACGCTGCTGAGCATCGAGCACCCGCGCTTGCACCACGTACCCACCGCGAAGTAAATCCAACCGTGAACGCAAGGAACGTCGCTGCAGCAGCATCGCTGGGCTCTCACCTGTGGTGCTTTGCTTACTGTTGCGATAGCTTAGTAAAAAGGTTTGTAGGGCGGTATCAATATCTGCGTCATCCCTATAAGCTTTATTAATTGCCCTCTTACACAGCTTAACAGCATTTTTCGCTGCACCATTAGATGCAGGGTGGTACGCCGGTGAAAACCTTTGCTGAATGCCATTATTTTTCAAAAAACTTTTAAATTCAATACTTGTGAAAGGCGGTCCCTGATCAGACACTAGTTCTAAGGGCAAACCGAATCTTGCAAATATTGACCTCAACACCTTAATAATGGAAGTCGCATTCGTTCGCGCTACTTCAATAATTTCAAGCCATTTCGAGCTCGAATCTATTAAAACTAAATAAGTTTTACCTTTATACGGCCCTAGGAAGTCTATGTGAACTCTAGACCAGGGAGGCAAGTAGGAACAGGGGTTAGGAGGCGCACGCGGCGGGGCGTACGCCTCAGAAGCGCAGGTCTCGCAGCTTCGGCATAGCGCTTCCACATCCGCATCGATGATAGGCCACCACACATAACTCCGTGCCAGCCCCTTAGTTTTCACGATGCCCATATGGCTGCTGTGTAGTTGTTTTAAAATAATTGGACGTAAATATGAAGGTATTATCATTCTATTACCCCCACATAATCGATCCGTTATCTAAATATAGTTCATTGCGCCTAACAAAATAAGGTTTAACCTCTTCACCAGGGCAAATAGTATTTAAAATATTAATCATAACAATAATGATAATTAGTAGCAGGTTTGTTACCGCACGGCGCGGTCACTCGCTACCTTGGTGGGGAGCGATTGTGTCGGCGTGTATAAATCGGCGGCAGCTGTTTCGGCTCGCCGCTCACTTAGCGGTCAGCCGCCGTAGAGTCTACATTACTTGAAGATGCCTCGTGTAGAGGCGAAACACGTGTCGTATTATCGTCGATGGTGTGTCTTACCTGGAATAGTGGTGTTGGGAGTAGCGGTGACGGATTAGTGCATGCAATTGAGGGAGGGCGGGAGGTGCTCTTCAATCCAGATAAGACACATCATTGTATTTATTTATCGGAAGGTTGCGAAGAAATTCATATTTTTATAAGCTATTTTTTGAATATATGGTGCATTGTTAAAATCAAATATACAATGCGCTCCATTTAATATTTTGTTTATTGTTCGACACCAGTGAAACACTTGGATTTTAGCCCCAAGAAGTAAAAATTTCTTTTTGATTGCTTTATGGTGCTCTCGGCACCCGATCCAGTCCAAATCATTTTGACTTATAAATTTTTGAAATGATCTCCGGTTCTCTACACTCATCATACGAAACACAGCAGCATTAAGCCCCGGTCGAGCCGACCCATTCGTGCTACAACTATACTACTAATATAACTGCAGCGTGGCTCTACCACGTAAAAAACTGTTGTATACGGTTCAGTAGGCGTGTCTTGCCGCTACTCGGGGTCGCTCGCTACGACTAGTCTACTTAAGAACAGTGTCGGTTTTTCTGCACAAATCAAAAGCGCTCGCCTGCACTCGGCAAGTTGCATCTACATCTTAGTCGCCCATTGCAAGTTACAGCTTGGAGTCCGTCCCGGTGAGATATTGATTTAATTAAGTTGCAACTTTAAAATAATTTCGACAATATCTCTATACTAACGAGGACATCTTTAAGTATTTTAACTTCACTGCGGAGTACACTGACATATTAATTATATGCACTCATTAAATAAATGGCCTCAAGAGTGACAACGCATCAGCATTTTGATTCTTAAGTGAGGTTAAAAATGTAGGTGTCTATGGGCCACTGGATATATTTTTAATAATATTTCCTTTGTGGGAAGCATTATTTAATATCACATTAGTTAAATCAACTTATTTGGAAAAAGCTACAATAAATCTTGTACTAGGGTACACAAGATTTTTACCTTTAAGGTGCTTTCGCTCCCTGTGTCTAATTAAATCATGGACACTAAGCTGCTGATCCTCATTATTTAAAAATGTTTTTTGCAACTTTTACATTTATTTACACACAGTTTTCTTATTATGTATCCTGAAGTGTAACTCCTCGCATTAACATTTATTTTTTCTTCAAATATGGATGCGTATAATATATTAGAGAGAGAGAGAATAATATATTTTAGCAGTTGTACAAAGAATGTTTTCTATTAATATATAAAACTAAAATATAATTCCGTTTCGGAATTCTGAAACGGAATTCCGTATGCGCGTGGCGGGCCTTAAATAGCAAATAAAGTATTTTGATTTGTTTAAAGGATGAAATTCTAGATGTAACTCTCGCATGTAGTAGACCAGAAAACCACCCTAAAACAAACTAGCCACTATGTTGACATCTCTCACCTACCAAAACACTATAAGACTGCCATAATTGAAATATAAATAGTTATCCTTACTGAAAAAATAGGTAGTAGTTAACTTACAAAAAGTTGTCGTACATTGCATTGTGGCAGCTACACGTTCACTGAAAACTTAAGTGCAGTTCTTAACTTTCATCTTCCTTATTTTTTCTGGTATAACATGCTCATCAGACAATTTTGGGCGCATTTTTATATTTCCTAATTTACAGTCATAGTTGTAAACATCTATAATGTCCTCCCATTTTGTTAGTTTTCCCTCAAAAAGTAAATTCTTATTCAACATGTTGTTGCGTAGGCCTTTTATTAAGTGTGGAGGATCATAGATGACACTTAAGTTACTTCCCCCAATTAAGATACTACCATCTATTAAAAAAATATTACATTACAATGATGGGATATTATTTTTACAAGGTTTTTATTTTTTGTCAAAGAAAAATAAGTGAAGTGTTCAACTCGAAGCCTAAAAGAGTTGTGTATTTTAGCTTTCACTCGCTTAAATATTTTCGAAACCTTTTGGTCTTCAAAACCAAAATCTTCCATGCTCAAAGTCTAATTTAACCCATTATAAACTAGGAAACGACATATTACCACATACATTATATGTATTTAATATTTATTTTTAAACATACCAAATGTTATATTATTTTGAAGACAGTGTCGCTTAGTATATTCTTGAAGATCTTTAAGGGCATGCTG